GGCTGACACCGGCCGCATCTGCCGCTTCGTGGAGAAGCCACGCGTCTTTGTGTCCAACAAGATCAATGCTGGGCTCTACATTTTCAGCCCTGGCATCCTGCAACGCATCCAGGTATGGGCCAGGGTGCCGGGCAGGGGGCCAGGCTGGGGGGGACAGGCCCCTTGCTCAGCCCTGTGCCCCTTCCCTGCAGCTGCGCCCCACCTCCATCGAGAAGGAGATCTTCCCAGCCATGGCACAGGAAGGGCAGCTGTACGCCATGGAGCTGCAGGGTAAGGCCCTGCGCATGGTGCAGGCAGCATGGAGGGCTCTTGCCTGTGCTGCCACCTCTGCAGTGGGGGGCTGTCACCGTGGCTCTGTTCCTACAGGCTTCTGGATGGACATCGGGCAGCCGAAAGACTTCCTCACAGGCATGTGCATGTACCTGCAGGCGCTGCGGGCTCAGCACCCTGAGAAGCTGCACTCGGGGCCTGGTGTCGTAGGGAACGTGCTGGTGGTAAGTGCCAGCCCCCAGCACGCCAGCCCTGGGCACACATCACAGGCTCTTCGCGTCCTCCCACCGCTGTCCTCGCTGTCCTCGAGCTGTGCCCTCCTGTCCCCACACTGGCTGAGTGGTGCGGGCTGTGACAAGAGCTCTGGCTGCCCTCCTGGCCCTGGCACAGCCCCTCTTCCTTCCAGGACCCCAGCGCCAAGATTGGGGCAAACTGTGTCATTGGCCCCAACGTGACGATCGGGGCTGGCGTGGTGGTGGAGGACGGGGTGCGCATCAAACGCTGCACCGTGCTGAAGGGGGCCTGCATCCGCTCCCACTCCTGGCTGGACTCCTGCATCGTGGGCTGGAGCTGCTCTGTGGGGCAGTGGGTGAGGACATGGTTGCCCCCCCCGCGGGGGATTTGGGCTCGGCTCTCGCCCTCCCACCTCCTCAGGCTGCAGCCAAAGGGATGGAGGGATGCACAGCTGCCTGCAGGCAGGAGCAGGAGCATGGCACTGAGCCCTGAGCTGGGGCAGGTGTGACAGGGCCTCTCTGGGGCAGGTGCGTATGGAGAATGTGACAGTGCTGGGCGAGGACGTCATTGTCAACGATGAGCTCTACCTCAACGGGGCCAACGTGCTGCCACACAAGTCCATCGCTGAGTCCGTGCCAGAGCCACGCATCATCATGTAGCAGCCCCTGCACTCCTGGCTCTGCTTGGATTAAATATTTGTATTTCCATCTACCGCTGAGCGTCACTTGAGCATGGCCCAAGCACTGGGTCACTCACCAGGGCTGGCCTGGCTTCCCCTCCCCCTGTCTCAGGGCACCACATAAGGAAGAATAATTTAATGCTGCATTTCATGAAGTCAACCCCAAGCCAGGGTAAAGTTAACAGCCCGAACGCCCAGCCCGGCCCCCCTGCCCCAGCCCTGGGGCTGCTGTGTGTTCCCAGCGCTGCCGCAGAGCAAGGCCTCAGGCTCCCCTCCCCAAGA